TATTCTTATTCTATTCTTATATATTATATTTATTGTTTTTTATTTATTTGAGTATATAATTTCTTTATTAATTGTTATTCTTTATTGCAAAATATAAATTAGATTTTTGAAAAAAGAATATTGGTTAGATATATATAAAGTAATATTAATATCAGTATATTATTGTAATAGGAATATTTTATTAATACTTTCCTTAGTGAAATAATAATACTCAGAATCAGATTTGTTATTAATAATACTTTTAACAGTATTAGAGTTTAATTTAGTGATATAAGCCTTATACTTTTTATACTTTTTATCTTTTTATAATAAAGATATGGATTGTTTTCTCTTTTGTTTATATTTTGAATTGAATTTCAAAAAATGTTTGGTATATCGAAGCTAGAAGTATTTTAGGATTAAATGATTAGATTTATTATAGAGTTTGTAAGTAATAACAAGTATATCGAATTTCAAGTTTATATTAATTTTGTATTAATAATGAGATAGAATATATTTCTTTCTTTTTATAAGATATATTATATCTTTAAAGTTTTGTATTTTAGCTTTTTTAACTTATAAATACTTAATCTTATTATTAATATTTAAAGTAGAATTGATAATACGAATTATATTAATAATAACTTTATATTTATTAAAAAAAGATAAGATCAAACTTTGAAAAAGTGATTTATTTATATATAAAATTTCAGCTAAAGTATTTATAAATAAAAGCTTTTTTCGAAGATTTTTGAGTTTATTTTATATACTTATAATAGTTATATTAAAAATATTATCAAAAAAAAAGATTTTAATCTTAAGGAGATATTTGTCTATTACTATATCATCGATTTTGAAATATTTGATAACTAAATAATTCTAAAATTTCTTTGTTATATTATATTCGTTTATTAAAACCTTATTATTATTAAATAATAAATAATAGATATAAGAATAATATATTAACATTATTTTCAAGAAAAATAACCTTTTTGTTAATATTAAATCGAATCTTTATTATAATATTGTTATTATTACTGGAGATTTGGAATTCTTCGAAATTCTTAGCTAATCTATTGGTGTTTGCAATCTATATATATTTCTATAATATTTTCTTATATATATGAAACCAGCTTTTTCTTCGAAATTAAATTCTTATTTGACGAGTTTAGTATTTGTAATTCTTTTGAATAAAGGAAGGAATATATTTAAAGTAATCCTTAGATTTAATATCTTTATTTATTTTGAAATTCTATAAATAAAAGATTTATATTGATAATCTATATATATTTTGATAATGAAATAAAAGAATTGAAAAGGAAAAGGGATTGTTTTAATTAAACTCCCCCAATTTTGGAATTAGTATTGTAAGGAGAAATTCTTTTCAAGATAGGGTAATTGAAAATAATAAATTTTGATTTGTAAATAATGATTTTTAGAGTGATATCGAACACTATATAATTAATAATATTTTTTAACATCAAACTGGAATAGATAGTTTTTTTAATAATAATTTGTAGTTTTCTTGTTTGAAAAAAGGGTATAATATAATTGATTATTTTGCTATTGTATTTAAGAAAGGGATATAATATAAATAGTTATTTCGCTATTGTTATTCAGCAATCTATTTATTATACATATTTCGTATATTAATATTGTATTGTATAAAAGCTTTTCATTATTAATCTCTACTTTGACAACATAAGCTATTCAAAGAGTTTTCAGTCTTAATCTTATTGTAAAACTATTAGGCTTATAATCTGTTCATAATAAAAGAGTAGGCTAGTGGAATGTATATAATATTGACTATATAGATTAATTGTACTAAGGTAAAATCTAACTATAAAATAGAAGTGATATATGTATAGTAGTGTAGTGCACGTGCTACAACTTCCAACATATTATATAATTGTATATCAATCGGAAATATTATACTATTTTTCTATTGTTATCCAAATAATAGATCCAAAAAAGGAAGATATTATCAAATTTAATAAAATCATTAAATAGCAGATGGATAATCTGAAAAGAGGATTTACATTTATATCTTTCGATATGGATTTTATTAATCTAGTTGTCTTTATTGATGCATCTTTTACTAATAATACTAATCTATCATTACAAATCAGTTATATTATATATCTTGTGGACAAGTATAGCAATACTAATATCATTTATTAGATGTTGGTCAAATATAAGAAAATCATTAAGAATATACTAACTTCTAAGTTATATATACTAATTCTAGATTTTAATATCAAAGCAGCTATTAAAAATACTATTAATATTATTTTTAGATCTAAAAAGCAAATATTATTTATAATCTATATAGATTCTAAATCACTATATAACCTATTAATTAAGCTCGGTACAAATACAAAAAAACAACTCCTAATTGATATTATGACTTTACAATAATACTACGAAAATAGAGAGATTATAAAGATTAAATGGATTAATGGGAAATCGAATCCTATGGATATTATAATTAAAAACAATATATATTAAGCTTTAAAAGACTTGATTAATATTAATAAGATAGTCATTAAAGTAATGTATTAAGTGGAAAGAGAATAGTGGAATGGGAGCTAAGGGAGTAGGAGTAGAACACTGTGTCTAAGGTTGAATAATGGGCTTAGGCTTAAGCATATGATCCATTTAACTTAAGAGTTGTCAGTGTCGGGATATCGATCATGTGATCTAAGAGGGCACTGTATTGCAACTAGCGTATGTACTAGCGTATGCACTAGCGCTAGCACTTCTACTATATTAAGTACTAGCTTCCCATAGTAATAATGATCAAGAACGAATAAATCATAAAGACTAAAGTACTATACACTTTATCAACCCCAAGTTGATACCAACACTCGGTAAGAATTGCTATTGTATAGTACTAGTCAACTGCTATCAGCCCACCAAGATTTTCCCGGATTTTATTATTAATCATTATCAATTCAATCTTTATTATTAAATCAATTATTTAATATTTTAATTCGAAATTGAAGTAATCTTTTGGGGTGTATATGTATTTTAATAATAAAAAGAATTATAATAATAATTTGATTTAATTATTTAATATTTAGTATACCAACCGTTTGCTGCAATATAAGTCTCTATTCTACTCAATATATTAATTTTTAATTTTATAAATAAATTGTTGTTTAAAGCATTTCAAATTGTTTGTAATACATTTTTTAATTTCTGTTTAATATATTCCGATTTACTTTTATCCTATACAATATCAAAAAACATTTCGAAAACATATACTTTTAAGTACTACCAGATATACTCTATGGGATTGAGATTGGGATTATAAGGAGGCTAGAAATCAATTAAAGAAATATTCCTAGCCCTAAACTATTCTAGTACCTTATTAGCTTAATACATAGAAATATTATTCTATATAAATTAATACTCCTTATTCAATCCCTCTCAAATAGAAGCTAATTCCCTATTAAGAATTTCAAAATAAGAGTTAACATTATATCCGAAATTTTTACTCTCGAAATCCCTATCTATAATATAAAACTTACTCCTCTCAATATTACAAAAACCTTTTCAGATTATAACCTTTATATTCTTATTTATAAAATAAATTTAAATTATTTTCTACTCCTATTTCTGCCTCAAAAAATGAAAAACTCATTTTTGGTTTTTCTTTTTCCTTTACTCTACAGAGCACTCATCCAATTAAAAAACTAGCCCCTATTCCTTTATTATCTATTTTTTATAGTTTAGATATCAGACTAGCTTTTTAATAGCATATTCTTCTATAAATTCAGGCCTTTTTCTAACTCTCCAATTAACTATACCATATTTAACCAAAATCTTTTTAAAAATAATCCTTTTATAATCAAAAATATATATTTCAATAATCTCTTTATAAATCGATTTTGGGAAAAATTATACAAATTTTAATATAACACATTTATTTCAATTTATATATAATTTCCTTTGAGACTTTTTAGTTATAATCTCTCCGTTAATATATATTAAATTTTTTAAAATAATATATCGAATAGTTTTACAAAAGATTTCAAGATTGATTACAATATTAATAGATTTAGTATCTTCAAAAGCTTTTCCTATAATTCTACTATAATTGTATAGATTAAGATTCATTCCAAATATATTATTATAATCAATTGATTTCAATAAAATATATTATAATAGTATAATTAATGAATTAAAATAAAAGTATTAAAGGGAAATGTGAATTTTTTTTAAAAAAGTATGTTTCGGCTAATAGCAATTGGTACATGCTGTATATTAATTTGTAAACATACGAACGTACGAGATATCTTCTTGATATATAATGAAATAGAAAAGATGAAAGAGGAGAGATATTTTATGGAATGTTTTTAATTTCTAATATAAATGAGATTATATAGTGAAAATGAACTTAATAAGTAGATATATAATATTCGTAAGATTTTAAAGCTTGATTTTAAAGGAAAAGCGAATTTATAAATCTTACGCGATTTACTCTATAAATTTTAAATGTATTGATTTATACTAATATGTACTGGGCTCAATACTACATTTGGTAAATACTATATTTGGTTTAACATGTCTAATATATTGAGTCTAATGTTTTTTTTGATCCGAACGAGCCCTAAATCAGTAAGATAACTCTCTAAAAGCGTACCTATTTACCGAATATTATAGTCTCATTCTAACTGGGTGAGATCCCATATAATAAGCTGAATAGCCTGAAATGTGATGATTGCTGCCTTCATTGCTTGCCTCAACATTCTTCTGTGTTTAAACTGCTTTCTATAGATAAAAGTCTCTCTACATATCCATGGATGATCTTGACATTTATTCTCATGTCAAGAAACAACGAAGAAAGCTTTTGGATCGCTTACTGTGATTATACGCCACCTTACTGCATCTACCCCATTTTTTCCCAAGTTTAAATACAGGACTTCATTTCCAACATTTTCTAAGCATTTTCGAAACAAACATATTCATACTTTGCCTTCTATTCATCTGTTGTATTTTCACCAAAAATTTCAAAGATGGCTTCGTCTGTGACGTATACGGCTTCGGATGCATTTTTTGATGCTTTGAGCGAGGTTCGTGCAATGAGCCTGCTCTATATTCAAAGCATTAACTAACAGTTGCAAGTTTGGCATTCAAGCCTGTTTCGTTAATCTTGGTTCAGACCATCCCAGTCTAATAGAATCAATGTTGAAGGGGCAGAAAGAAAAGAGAAAAAACTTTCCTACAATCTACACTTGTCCTAATGAAGTACGTATCATTTTATCTTTTCCGTTTATCCAATGTTAGTTGAAGACTGATTTAGTGTTATTGATAAAGATGGTTGCGCTTTCTATGGCTGATGGTTGGGCCCGAGCGACCGGACGGGTACAAGCCGTAATTGTTCATGTTGATGTTGGAACTCAAGCTCTGGGGGCTGCCATGCGTGAGTATCTCTGCTTCTTTGACCTAAGCCCAAAATCCTCAGGTATAACATAAAAAGCAATTACTGACTCGCCTGTCTTCATAGATGATGCTAACACAGGACGAGCACCTGTTTTGATATTTGCCGGCCTGTACCCATACACTGAGGACGACGAAGTACCTGGGTCAAGAACTGAATACCAACATTGGCTACAGGATGCACCAGACCAAAAGGCTCTCGTTCGACAATATTGTCGCTACGTAGGAGAGTTCCGTACGGGGTCTACCGTGAAGAAAACTGTTGCACGAGCGCTGCAGTTTGCTACTAGTGATCCCAAGGGACCCGTATATCTGGCCGGAGCCCGAGAAGTGATGGCCGAGACTGTTCAGCCTCAGAAATTTGATGCTGGACAGTATGGACCTATCGACCCCTCTGCCTTGCCTCAATCTGCAGTCAAAAAAATTGCAGAAGCTTTGTTAAATGCTAAGTCGCCTCTCATTATTACCGGATACTCCGGTAGAAACCATGCTTGCACTGCAGAGTTAGTCAAATTAGCAGACATGATTCCTGGATTGCAAGTTTCAGACACCGGTGGCTGTGACATGTGCTTTCCAGCCTCACATCCTGCATACCTTGGCTTTCGTCTCAGCTTTGATGAATCTGCAACCGAAGCTGATGTGATATTTGTTCTGGATTGCGATGTTCCATGGATTCCTTCTCGCAATCGTCCTCGTGAGGATGCAATCATATATCATGTCGACGTCGATCCCCTGAATTCTACAATGGGGTTGTCTTTTTTTCCCGCAGAGGGGAGATGGAAAGCGGATAGTTATATTGCTTTAACCCAAATTAATTAGTATCTTGCAACCTCAGAGCTTGCGAAGGAAAAACTCGCAGACGAGGAATCTGCAAAACGACATAAGGTTGTTGCCAAGAAATACCAAGAACGCATGGAATCCATCGCTAAGCTTGCAACCTCGCCTTCCGATGGCTCGCTCGATATTCATTACGTTGGAGCCGCGCTAAAATTCGCTGCACCACGGGACACAATATTTGTCGTCGAAGCTGCAACGTGCGCAATGCCTTTATCGGACCAACTACAAGTAGAAATCCCTGGCTCTTGGATTAATTCTGCCGGTGCCGGCTTGGGATGGAGTGGTGGAGCGGGTATGGGGGTTAAGTTAGCATACGATGCTGCCGGGACTCCAAAGTTTGTTTGTCAGGTCGTGGGTGATGGAACCTATCTATTCACAGTTCCTGGAAGTGTCTATTGGACTGCATCTCGATACGGTATACCCGTTTTAACAATCGTGCTCAACAATAGAGGTCAGTGTTTAATTGTTATTATCTATTCTAATTTTGATACGTATGAAATTATTCAAAATGTGCTAACTATATGTGATACAGGGTGGAACGCACCACGCCAATCGCATCGACTCGTTCATCCAACAGGCCTTGGTGCCACAGCGTCGAATAAGGACATGCATATATCATTAGATTCTTCTCCTGACTATAGCGGAATTGCTAAAGCAGCAGCTGGGGATAATTTTGGCTCCCTTAAGGGTAGCCTATTCGCGGCGAAAGTTTCTACAACCACAGAACTAAGTGATGTGCTCAGCAAGGCTGTGAAAGAGGTTCAAAATGGGCGTGGAGCTGTTGTAGAAGTAGTATTGAATATTGATGAGATGGGCGATTTCAAAACGCGTCGAGAATGACCACCTTCGACATGAGATTTTTCGATTGTAACTTCCAACTTATCAATCATAGCAAAGATTACAATTTTTGCGAAGCGTGTTTTGCTAGTCTTCTTGTTTGAAAGCTTTTTGATCACTTCAAGTAATGAACCACTCCTTACCATTTACTGTGCCTTTCACCCACTTCCGTATTTACTGTGCCTCTCACTCACTTCCGTATTTACTTCGTTTACCTATTTCCAACATCTCCTGCACTGCACTAGGTCATCTGCTTTGGTACTCGTGTATAACCGGTTGTCAACGCAGCTTATGTATCCTAGTACTGTTATGTAACCTTACCATATTACTTTCTTGTCTAGACATAACCAACCCACACCAAAAGATGTGAAATAACCAAAATTTACATGGATGGGAGGCGTATAACAGAGGCACATCAGATGCCTGTGATCCACTAAAATGTTGCATATCATCTTGAAAAAAGAAAGTGGTTATTGTAGAGAAATAGGAGCTATAACGATTAAACCCGTGCCACAACCAATGTCGGTGCTTATCATCACTGGTTCGGATCACGTTACGTATTAAGCAAGAAAGCACAAACTGAGCCACCGGAGTATCTCCTCTCGCTAAGGCTAATAGCGGGGATGTGAAAGAGAGGGACCGAAATTATTTCCCTCTACACGCTTATCGTGAGGGTGTGAAAGAATGGCAGCTAAGTACTAGTGTCTTCTCCTTCCATGGCTAATGGTGGGAATGTGAAAGAGAGGCACCGAATTATCTCCTCCCTCTACGACCTCATTGGTGAGCAAGCTTTTCAGACACACAATGATTGCAACACAGCCTACACACCAACTCACTGAGTCACTGGTAGTTTTAATACTTTCAAGCTTCGCCATGACTGGGATTCTAGAGCAACATTCCTCATAGAACTTGCTCTTTTAGTTTATTTGACCAGTCTAAACAAAAGAACTGCACAGATCTTGTTCATAGTATCATCATGTCGGACTCATTAGTCGAAAAATGCTTCCCACCTACAATTGCAGAAACGGATTCAGGTATGATTGTAGATGGTTTTCAGGCGACTTCCTCTCTCTACGATAACTCCCATTCTTCACTTGCACACAATTGGTCCCCAGTACGTAGTACATAGCCACTTACCTGTTTCATCACTGATGATATGCTTCTAGGGAAAAAAGCTATATGTCGTGTCAACTGGCCTCTTCATAAACTTCAACACATGTCTCAGTGCAGCACTTCCAACTGGTGCACTGGAAACTCTCACTGCGGCGTTCAATGTGACAAGTCAAGAGCAAAAGGCACTTCCAGTAGCTGTTTTCTTGATCGGCTATATCTTTGGACCTCTGATCTTCGGGCCCATGGGCGAGTCTTATGGGCGAAAAATTTGCTTTCTCTTTTCCTTTGGACTGTACACAATTTTTACATTAGCGTGCGCTGTTGCACCAAACTGGCCATTGTTCCTGCTCTTTCGATTCTTGGTGGGAGTTGGAGCTTCGGCACCACAGTATATTCTGGGAGGAATGTATTCAGATATTTACCCTAACTTACTTCACCGTGGGAAGGCAATGATGATGGCAGGTCTAATGAATAGTTTTGGTCCGCTTATTGGTCCGATTATTGCAGGTTATACGTCTACCACGAACTGGCACTGGATGTTCTGGATTGCTCTCATTCTTGCTACGTCTAACTGGCCCCTGTTGTTGTTCCTCCCAGGTTTGTCTCTCAAAATCTCGTTTTGGTAATGCAGAAAGCTAACACTCGATGAACTTTTGCCTAGAGACCTTTGCTCCTGTTATCATTCACAGGCTGCAGAAAACACAAGAGCATAGATTGGTGCAACCCACTGCTGGAAAGAATATGAAAGATCTGGTCACTATAACTTTTACAAGACCTATAAAAATGTTCGCCGAACCACTTGTCCTCTTTTCCGATCTTTTCCTCGTCTACCAATACAGCATTTACTACCTTTATTTCGAAGCTTATCAGATCATCTTCCAAGGTCAGTATTTACCATTCATATCAGGAAGCTCCGAAGCTAATCTTGTATAGGTCCGTACGGCATGACCTTGGGCCAGGTAGCTCTCCTATTACTACCAAGTGAGTCTTCGTTAGTATTCTACTGCAGCAGCCGTTACTAAGTAGATCAAAGTTGGTGTAGGTGGCATCATAGCCATGTTTATCTTCCTCTGGTATGACCACTTTCTATCGCAGAGTAAGCTTAGCGGAAAAGAATGGGCTATGCGCGAAGAGTATCGTCGTCTACCGCTTGCATGCGTTGGAGGACCTCTCTACGCGATTTCTCTATTCTGGCTGGGATGGACAGCGCGTCCAAGTATTCATTGTAAGCACATCTACTACACCACATCAAGTCACCTTCAGTATTTTGTCACTAACAGTAACGAGGGTCCGTACCCGCTCTTTCAGGTATCGTGTTCGGCATTGGCATTGATCTTACGTTCATGGCGCTGAATAACTACATCACGGATGCTTATGACATATATTCGGCTTCTGCTCTTGCTTCATCTGTATTGAGCCGGAATATTGCAGCTGCACTGTTGGTACCGTTGGCAACCTATCAGATGTATGATGCTTTGGGTGTTGCGTGGGCTTGTAGTTTGTTGGGTTTTGTCTGTCTGGCTCTCAGTCCCATTCCATTTGTTTTCATTAAGTATGGACCAGTCTTGAGGAAAAGGAGTAAATTCTGTCAGGCGATTGAAAGGAGAGAGTCTTTGACGTGACGATATACCACACAGCCACCAACCTCAAGTCAACCCACTTCCGCTCAGCCAAGTTTTTCACTAACGCAAACCATTTTTATCCTCGCGAGGGAGAGTAGAGAGAGAAATGAGGAACTGGAAGAACAATTCAAGAGATATCAGAGCAACGAGGAACATTGGAAGTAGCATTAGATTTATATAGAAGTGTACAGGGGCGGCCATCTAACTCGGTCATGTAGTACCTCGTTTACGGATGCTAGCGGCAGCATAGTGGATAGCGGTACAGCGGCCAGTGGATTACGCGAGGGATTCCAGAAAGCTGCGATTTCCTGATACAGAAACACCGACATTTAAAATATATTATATAATTATTATCTCAAGTTAAACTCACTCTTTTATTCATAATAAATTAATCTATTAAAAGAAATATATCTTTGAAATATATTTTATTAACAACTCTATAACTATTTTATAAAACTAACAAAGTTTAAGAATAATCTTAAATATATAAATTTTTATAAAATAATACTAATAATACCTATTCAAAGTGTTTTATTACTAATTTTTAAGATTGAAGACTAACATCAACCTCAAATTAATAAATATAATATAGAAATAGAAATAGAAGTAGAAAGCAGTAGATAAAGATTTAAGATCTTTTTTAATATATAATATAAAGAGAATTTGTATTATATTTATAGGCTAGAGTATATCGAAATGAAATGAGTTCAGAGTTTAGAGATAATATATTAAATCGATTGTTCACAATACGAGCAAAAATACTAGTTTACTCGTATCTTGAGGAAGTACAACAATAGTCAGTTTTACTTCAAGTATAGATATTATGGATTTTGATGATGTCAAACTAGAAGAGCTCCATAGTCGTTGAGTAAGCCAATGAACGAATGCAGCATCAAAGCAAAGTCCTACCAATAACCACCGAGCACAAGTCAAATTAGACCTTAAAATTAGTAAAATTAGCCCACCTCAATTGTACCCCAATAGCAATAACTGGCAAAACGCTTACGATCTCACCCAAGCCAGCATACTGAGGTGGGATTCTTGAATTCGGAAATGCTCCTGCGGCCAACAGAATCGCAAAGGTGTTGTAGACGAACGACCAGGTAAAGTTGAAGGCAACTCGCCGATAAAAAGTCTTAGAAAGGTCGATAAGGACGATAACTCCACCCAGAGCTGGTCGAATAAAAACTGCATCTGCTGCACTTTAAGCGATATCTGTGCCTCCATTGACATGCATACCAATAGATGCTTGAGCAAGTGCCACAGCATCGTTCGTTCCATCACCGCAGAACATCACAACATTCTTTGCAGTGGATGTTTCCTTGATGTATGCTTGCTTTTCGGCTGGACTGCATTGAAAGCGCACATGGCTTTCTGGCAAGTCGAGGGTTCGAGAAACAGACTTGACAGACTCTTCATTGTCACCACTAATAATAGAAATCTCGATTTTCCGTCGCTTCAACTCGTTGATAACAGCCATAGTATCTGGTCGAAGACTATCCTTGAGACCATACACTGCAACAAGATTTCCATTGACAGTGATGCAAAAGATAGAGACTCCCAGGGAGAGGATACTCGTGACCGCTGGTAGGTTTTCAACACCCAGCCAGTATGGATTTCCCGCACGGATGTTTTTTTCTCCCCAAGTAGCTTCAATGCCACAGCCCACAATCGAGGTGACTTTCTTCAGCTCATCTGCTTTGGTGACAGTTGACTTCAGATGAGCTGCTATGGCTGACGAAACAGGGTGCTTGCTACTGTTTGTCAACCCAAGAATCATTGGTCCGAGGGTGGTTCCTTCGCCGGTTGGATATAACTCTCTCTCCACCGTGAGTTGCCCCTGTGTGAGTGTGCCCGTCTTGTCAAACACGACATGAGAGATATTTCTAGCCTTTTCGATGGTTTCTGCAGACTTGAAGATCACGCCGTTTTTAGCAGCCACTCCGCCAGCAATGACCAGAACCATAGGAACAGCTAGGCCGATTGCACATGGACATGACACAATGAGGGCTGAGATGGCGTAAGTCATGGCGCTGATGCATGCAGTTGTCGTTGAATAATCTTGAATTCCTATGCCGACTCCCACCCTGACAACGAATACAGTGACTGTGAGAACAAGAATAATTGGGACAAAGTATGCCGCTACTCTGTCTGCCATATCCTGGAACCTGGCCTTGAAATATTTTGCCTCGTCTACCATTAAACCAATTGATTTGATTGTATTCTCTCCCACAAGACGATTTAGGCGAATTTTTAAGGTTCCAGAGTGATTCATACATCCGGCAACAACCGGGGAACCGGGTTGTTTGGTTACAAAAGTAGCCTCGCCCGTGATCATGGACTCGTCAACGCCCGATACGCCAGAGATTACAGTCCCATCTGTGACGATTGCCGAATGCTAGATCAACTAATTAGAAATATTCTTGAACCGCCATTTGCGTATATACATACAGGTGACACTATAAATACATCTCCGCATTGCAAGAGCCGTGCATCAATCTCATTTCGAGAGTCTGATTCTGAATCTACGAGAATTGCAATTGAAGGTTGAAGTGATTCGATAGAATTCGACTCCACAGCTCGTTGTCTTGCCAAACTAGTCACAAGGCGTCCCAGCATAATCAATGTTACCAGTAGCGTACTGGTTTCGAAGAAGCTCCCAGTTGAAAGAGGCTTTTCATAAGCCATGAGAGCATAGGCAATGATGGAGTATATGTATGCGATTGATGTAGAGAGAACCACAAGAAAGTCCACTTCAACTAGGTGTGAGAAAAACAGCGCCTTAAAGGCGCTGAAATACCATGGGCCGGCAATGTACACCTGCACAATTGTTGCGAGGACTAGTGAAGCCGCTCCATAAGCGATTTCTCGAGGAGGAAGCTCAGCCCATGCCATGATAAGCACAGGAACAGTCAGAACTATAGAAACCAGCGTCTTGAAGAGCATCAACCGAAGATGAGCTCTACCAGCTGTGATGAGAGGAGGGTCTGCCATAGGGGCTAGCTTGGCTGATTCAAAAAATGGATTGCTCATCAAATCTCTCGCGCCAAGAACCTCTGGATGATAGGTCACTCGAATAGTACGAGAATCTTGTACCGCAATACCCGAGATTCCATATGGTAGGTCTTTGTCGTCTATGAAGACTGTAGCGTCTTCCACAATGAGGTCAAGCTCATGTCCAGACAATGTCATCTTCGAGCAAGTAAATCCAGTCATTTTTTCAAGAGACTTAATAGTTTCGGCAACATTGATATCGGCTGAACTTGCACGAATGTCGAATTCTGCTCGACCCAAAACAAGACTGGTTTTGATATTAGAAACCGCTGGCATCGAAGTCAGAGCTTTGGAGAGGGATTTTTCGCAGCCAGTACAGGTCATCCCTTGGACACTGATGATAAGATGTTCGACTTCAAGGACTCCCTTTTCCAAGTCTACCTGTTTGGCGCTAGTGTTTGAGATGTGGGGTAAAATTTCAACATCTTGCGAACATTTGTTACCTCCAGACTTGGTTTTGGAACAGCAAGCTTCTCTAGCGAGAAGTCGTTTTCCAGTCGGATCCGAGAGATTTTGGTATCCAATTTTGCAACAACTTACTTCTTCCACTCCCAGGGTAGTGTGTTTCCCAGCTTGAACCTCAGTAGAACAGCATTTATCCAAAGCCGGCTTGGTGTCTGATGGAGTCGAGGTTGGCTCTGAGCAGCAGCCTTTTTTACAACCGTCCAAAGGTGCAGCGACAGCGACAACAATAGGATCCACTGCTGATTTAGAACAGCTTCCTTTACCAGAATTACTCACACATTTCGATTTCACGGCTGGTCCCACACTCGGGTCAGAACAACATCCTTTATCACAATCCGAAGCAGGAGCTTCACCTTTGAAACTTGTCTCCTCTACGCAGCAGTCCAAACCCTCTGTGATATACTTAGGGCTGGTTTTGTCATCACTGGTTGACCTAGATTCTGTAGCGGAATTCATTCCAATATCGCTTCCATTTTGCTCTGGTGGTGTAGAGCAACAGGCGTTTACATTCATCACCGCTTTCACCAACTCACCCTTCGGTGGAGAGCAGTACAACTCTTCAGCACACGAAGCGCCTCCAACCGACTTGACAGAACTCCCCCCACTAGAAGTTTTTCTCATTCCTGTCAAAAATCTATCCTTCTCCGAACTCTTGCGTCGAGCAGTCCCAGACTCCAGAGCACAGCACGATTCCAAATTCAGGGAAAGCAACACCTTGCAAATACACCCAAAATTGTTCAATATCTCACTATACGCAGCTTTTGCTTTAGAAAGGTGGCTCTGACATGGTTCTTCGTCGGATGGGAGTGGAATGGAAGATTGGGAGCTCGAGGGAAGCTTGTTTCGATGATTGTGCTCATTCTTGCAATCCCGGCGTGCGATTTTGACAACGCAATTATCTGCATGAGTTGGATAATTAGCTGAATATACCACAGGGCCGGGAAGAACCTACCATCACAGCATTTGTTATCTGGTGAAGAGGGGGAACAGCATTCAGAGCGGGGACAGGTTCTCTGGCGGATTGTGGAAGAGTCCCCTCTTCCTACTTCATCGCTGATTGAGCAAGTCATATTTCTCACGAATCCAGGTCAGAACTGCGAAGAAAGAGAAATTATTGGATATGCCGTCTGTCTCATAAACTGACTTGTTGCCTACGAAGTACACGATGACAAACTGGGGTAAATTTTAGTGCCATAGATGAGGTGGTCTGTGCCCACAGTTCCTCCTAAAGCGACAGGGGGGTGAATGCCGAATTTGTATACGAAGTGAACAGTAGAAGCGGATCCTAATGATTCAATAAATATAGATTCATATTTCCAAACATTTCCGTATATATAAGTTCAAGTTCGTCAAAATGATATACTTTGTATTCGTAATATTATTTGTTTGAAGAAAGAGTCTGAGAAATCCGTAAAATGTATTCTAAAAAAAAACTCGAGCTTCGTATATATGTTAGAATCAATACAAGGTGACGACTAGTATAATATAGGTAGAGGGTTAGAATAAGACTTTTCATTAATTCCTTCGAAACCTCTTTCCTGAAGCTATATATATGTGAAAACTCTTCGCTTCCGGACTAATAGTCGGCCCGATATCGATTCCACATCGTATCAATACCCGTAACAATATATTTATATAAATATATTAGACTACAGTATGTAACTATAATCTATTAAGAGAGAGAGAGATGATCATGATATTCTGATATTCTATATCTCAGGAATAATCATATAGACTTATCATAGTTGTATGTAAAGATGAGGAGGTCTTTATTTACTCGAATTATCGAGAAGATGAAAGGGAAGGAGGAGAAGGCATTACGTCCTCTGATAATATTTTATAGCTTCAGTATATAATAGTACTATTATAAAATAATTTCAATAAAAGAATTAAATACAATAAAAAAACATCAATTCAATTATAATTCTTCATACTTTAAAACACTTCTATCTCTATCTAATACAAGACGTAATTGTGTACTTGAGGCGGTTTCGGTGTCTCGTGAAACGAATGACTTTCTTTGCAACTCCTCCAAATATAATTCGTAAGCAGGCATATAACCTTGAACGAACTGAATGACACTTGCATCGGTCATACCAGTGCCTTTTACTTGCCACATATTGTGCTCCTGCTCTATTCTCCACCTGTAAACATTGACAAGCTCTTCTGTATCGAGATGAATCAAAGCGTCGAAGTTTGTTGGGTTCATAAACGTTGTATTATATCGACGAAGGTTGCCATTGATCATTTCGAGATGACCAAGGGGATGATTTTGAAGTGCATTTATTGGAAACGTCGCATCTTCACCCGACCTCGCCATCTGATCCTCTTTCTGCGCACTTTCCCATTTTCGCTCGAGCTCATCTCTTTCTAATGACTTGAATCCTACACACCATCCTTCAAAGATAACAATATCCAGTATATTATCTTTACTTGGAATAAAAACCTTCCAATCTTCCTCTGGAACTCGATCTCCTTCACCCTGGAATCTGCTCTTATCAAATGCCGGAATCTTGATGATACCAGTAGTGAGTGACTCAAAGAACTGGCTCACAAGTGCTTCATCGTGTGTTCCTGGCTGTCCTCGTACTTGTAGTAGCCCGTTATCCCGATTCCGATTTTTGATCTTAACCAAAGTCTCGTGATCATGATAGAAGTCGTCGAGAGAACAAACGATGACCCTAAACTGGTGTTCGTGTTCCAAGGCTAATGCAAGCTGACTGGCATAAGTTGATTTGCCACTACCTTGCAAGCCAGATAAGGCAAGGAGAAATGGCCTGTTGAATTCTGTTTGCTGATACTGCCACTTCTCATGATGAGCTTGAACTCGAGGGACAAGAAAACTCAAGATCTCCTGAATAACATCGTTTGGAATTGCCATAGTACCGGCAAGAGCAGTCAAGAGCGGCCCTTTGACAAATTTGGGTTATGCCTATAGACAACTTACTTGACTTGATGGCAACACTTGTTGAACCATTCGGCAACAGTTTTTGTCAAAAACCCATATCTTTCATGAGGTGCGCACGTCAAAAGTGCAACGGAGTTTACTTTCCCCGGTGACTTCGTACCCGACATCTGCAATTAGCATGGGGTTCGGAGTTGTCTTTCGCCGATATCCTTGCGAGCGACTAGGATCGGCTATTGATCTTATCCCTACAATCTTCTTCCTTCCTGCCGATTCATCTCTACGTCAAGTCTTTTATTAAGTCATCCATTCCTCAATAAATACGATATAAGTCAAATCAGAACAATTTTATCTTTCAATATAACTCATCTACATTCCTGGTTACCGATTGTTCTTATTGTACAGCTAAAATGTCTCCATCTACTATCAATTCGGCAAGGGAATATAGCATCGCGTCCATCCCAGCTGATGGGATCGGACCTGAAGTCATCGATGCAGGTATTCAAGCTCTCAATGCTCTCGCGACGACAATGGGAACATTCAAGCTCAATTTCACACACTTTGATTGGAGCTCGGAAACCTATAAGAAGACGGGAAAATATATTCCTGAAGGTGGCCTTGAAGAGTTAAGGAAGCATGATGCCATTCTCTTTGGTGCAGTTGGTGCTCCAGGTAAAGAATACAGGATGCCAATATTGAGAAACTAGTACTAATCATCATCAGACGTTCCCGATCACATCTCACTTTGGAGCCTCAGATTAGCCATCTGTCAATCTTTTCAACAATATGCAAATGTTAGGCCAACTAAAGTTTTCCGTGGAACCAAATCTCCACTTCGGGACTGCAAGCTCCTAGATTGGGTTATCGTTCGTGAAAATAGTGAAGGTGAATACGCTGGACAAGGCGGTCGTTCGCATCGGGGTGAAGCTTGGGAGACTGCGACTGAAGTAGCAATCTTCACTAGACACGCTGTTGATAGAATTCTTCGTTTTGCATTTGAAACTGCGCAGCAGCGACCACGAAAGATGCTGACGGTGGTAACTAAGAGTAACGCACAACGTAATGGCATGGTTCTCTGGGATGAGGTGGCGAGAGAAGTTGCAAAAGACTTCCCAGATGTAAAGATGGACTTTATGCTTGTAGACGCAATGACCTGCAGGATGGTATTAAAACCAGAGTCTTTGGATACAATTGTCGCAACAAACTTGGTGAGTACTATCATGACCAGGAGGAGAGCCCGAAAGTTTTAGAATCATTGAACTGATAGTTTGTAGCACGCTGATATTCTTTCTGATCTTGCCGCTGCTCTCGCAGGCTCTATCGGTATTGCCCCAACATCGAATCTGGACCCTAGTAGGAAGAATCCTAGTATGTTTGAGCCTATTCACGGCTCTGCTTTTGACATTACTGGAATGGGAATTTCAAATCCTGTCGCAACATTCTGGACTGCTGCGGAAATGCTGAAATGGCTCGGCGAGGAAGAAGCGAGTCAAGTTCTTCTAGAGTGTGTTGAAAAAGTGTGCGAACAGGTACGTTTTATATCAATTAAATCGTTTGTAAAGATACTAACAACCTTAGGGCATCGTAACTAAGGATCTTGGAGGAAATGCAAGGACGGCAGAGGTAACCGATGCGGTTTGTGCCGAGATACAGAAATTTTTTCAGGGAAAGAATTCTGCTTAGATGTCATGCCACTTCATGATGTTGTTTAATCTTTAGTTTTAGTTTTAAATGTTCTTTGTACTCTTCGATGCTTAAATTGACTATTCGGGTTATTAGTCAACGCATTCCAAAAGATGTGGTCGGATCTGTTGTTCCCGTAGCAAAATTCGAAAAGTCCATCGCAATGAGTGGATCAAACAATCCTCCTTGATAAAGGTCCAGCTGATCCCATTCGTTTTCCTGATCTCTTTCTGAAGTAGGTCCTTGTGAGAATGTCGAGGCTTGCTGCACGCTGAATGGTCGTGGAAATGAAATTGGAGTTTGCGGTATGCGCCTCTGGGACTCACTGCTATTTTGAGGTCTACTAATGTCTGTACGAATCGAATGACTATTGTAACAAGCTTCGTCAAGAGTGGAAGTGCGATTATTAGATTGAGATGATGCTTCATTCCTATGTTGTGTCTCAGCTGCGTGCCGTGAATTTGAAATGAAAGTTCCTTGGTTCGGCCGATTGGATCTGACGATTGCTGATGAAGCTTGATGGCTCCTATCAAGCGCATGACTAAGTTGCTTAACGGCATCGGCGCATGAGTCTGGCCACACTGTTTGGCGTAATGAGAGGTGTTCTAGAATTAATAACGTTTCTTTAGCATATCTGACAATGTTAGTGTCATGTGTTGCCGAGAAGGAAGGAGAGTGATGACAAACTTTTTTGCCGGTCCAAGTTTGCAATGCCCTTCTAGAGCGGCATAGGCAAGCACAAAACAGCTCATCCATGCGGACCACGTAAAAAGCGGCCAGACCATAGGGACTTTCAGAGCCAGCGATCCATCTGGTGATGCATTATTGCGTTGAAATTCCCTCAGTAGAGAAATGATTGCTCGTGATGCGCCGATGCAGTTTTGAAGTGCAGATTGAGAATAAGTATTTGTCAAATTTGAAGTGATTAATGGCCGATTCAAAGCTATGGTTGATTCATGCTGCAGGATTTGAATAATTAACTTTTGCGCTGGTGATAAAGATGGGCTGTTCTCAGCTTCTAGAGAATCTTCATCTTCTTCGCTGACTTCATTCACCCATTTCGCCAGCTCAACTTGCATTTCCATAGCACGCTCAAAGGTTTCCTCACGACCGGACAAAGATTTGTTGCGAAGCTCCAAGACACGGCCACGAATTCGAGAATGTTTAGAAAGGTCTACTAGAAGACGCAATTGGTGCACTGTTACTTTGATCAGTCACCAGATCATTCTGACAGTTTATGTAACGAACAGACCATTAGACTCTTCCAAGTTCAATTTATCAGTCCCACTTCGCAGATGTTTCTCCTCGCCTGGATAGCAGACGTCTATATCATCATCTCGAAGATCTAACGGAAGGCCAAGTGACTGCGAAACCATCCGCTCCATACAATAGAGTGACCAAAATACTCTTCGTCTCAGTTGAGATTCCGTAGGAGTAAAGCCGTCATACCGGGCAGGACATCGATGGCAACCAAGAGCATAGGCCATCCTTCTCCCCTATTAACGTCGGTACAGAAAGATAAATGGCGACACACTTACCGAACAGCTAGCCCACCTAGTCGACTGGCATAGTTAAACTTCAACATAGAAATCAAAAATAACTCAAGAGAAATGGTAGCTTGGAGATTCTCAAAAGTTGCTGGAAGAGCCATAGTAAGCTGAAAGGTAGAGCCCAATTCTGCGTTATTATAAAAAATGAGATGACGAGGAACTTGGGGAAGACGCTTAGTAGATTGGCGACTGTCTGCGAGTGACTGGCTCAAGAATTAGGACCATCTCACGGTAGAACTGCAGAGCAAGGGAATATTCGACTTGCTTACGATTGATATAATCGATCGCACAATCAAGGCGTCGGAAGGTGCAACTGCTTGAATTCCATGTCGACTGATTGCCTCAAAGATCCCTAGCACTGCTGGAGCGTGTAGGAATGGAAAGAGAGGGTGCCAGTTGGTAAAATAGCTTTCCGAAAATTCTACGAGCTGATGGAAGGAGATGGGATCAGAGCTTAATTGGGAACTATCGCCAACTTCATTTTCCCGGAAAAATGGAGGGGAAGAGGCGAGAAGATGAGAGTTATCGGTAGATTCTGACAATTGGTCATCCTCGCCCGGCACAATGTTTTCCGAAGCAGGAGTAGCTGTATTCAGATTTATGTGTGTCGAGTTTGATTTCCCTGCAAGAAGCTCATAAACTGTCCGAATGAAATGAATTCCACTTCCACTACCAATAAATCTGGGCTTGCTCTGATCAAAGCCTGTTCTCATTAAACCAACTTCTCGTGCAGGGCTACCTTCATCATCGACTCTCCTACGTTTGCTGCGATGGCTGTCATTGTGTGGAGAGTGTGGGCCCAGATTGGTAGCATTTGATGTTGGAATCATTACGATTAAGAAAGACACGTCAAAGCGTCATCTTGTGAAATTCATAGATATGAAGCATGTAGGTCGAGAGTGTTGAATCTCAGCTGGGGATTGAGTTCTATCAGGAGAGTGGTGGAGGTGGAGAAGCTGTGGGAGGGGGGGTTGTCGCGACTTGGATAATTGTTGGACAATCATACAAGTATGTGGGCGGGAATGATTCAAGTGGAGACGAGAGAGAATGTCTTGGTATTTGGGGTATGCATACTCACGTGACAGTCTACCAAAATGCCTGCGCTAAGATATCTCACCGCCCTTGTTTTGAGCAACAATCTCGTCACGCGCTGGTCCGGACAGAACAGAGTTACTCCGCTGTTGCAGATTTCCTCGACATTAAACTCGATGGAACCCCCCACTCGATTTCATTTCCCGCAAACTGTTAATATCTCACCCAGAATGTCACTGTCCGTAGCTAGGTTAGCATGTGAGCCCTGTCGCCAGAGAAAATGTAAGGCAAGTGTATTCCTAATTCAAGCCTGTTTCGTTTGCTTATACGTATCGTTAGTGTGATCGAACACTGTATGTCATGTTCATCTATGATATCCCTAAGAGAGAACACTGACGAATCACAGCCCGACATGCTCCAAATGCCAGGGAGCCCCACAACAATGCTATTACTCCGAAGCGAATAAAAGGTACCAAGTGCATATCCTGTACATGTGAAGTTATGGCTTACCAAGTTACTATTCAGAGGTTTACCCCCCGGCTACCTTGCGGGAATTGAACTCCGCCTAATTGAGACTGAGATCGCTCTACACAGAGCACTATCGAGACTGTACAACCATTCTGATGCCAAATTCCAAGAAAGTCGAGAATTTCCGCAAGTCTCCAAGGGTGAATTGATGGAGCAGTGGCAAGAATTACCTCTAGGGTCAGACATTGATCTGGAAACATGGTGGTCTCGGAAAACGAAATATGTCGAGCCATTCGATAGGGAGTGGGGTCCACCGGAAAAGACTTCAACTCCCGAAATACATATTGCTCATGGAATCGATGACATCCCATCCGTTGACTGGGAGCCTACAAATGAAAGACATAGAAATGTTCCAGAAAGTCCAGATTCACTCACTCAGGAGACTATGGCTAGTACAATTTCTAGTCTAGCAATGTCCCCGAACTCAGTCGAAGTGCAAAAGAGCCCTGTGGACCCTCAGCTCCAGTTTGAGAGCGACATCCCCGATTCTTTAAGCTGGCAAAGAAATTCACAAACACAAGATCTTGGTGAGACCGTAACGATTGCAGAATCCTTTGCAAGAGCGCATCATAAAATGTATTTCTAGCTCCAAGTCATACACAATACAAAAAGATCACAAACAATGCTTCATCGTCGTATTCCTGTTTCAAATGAAGCCGTTTATTTTGGTTATCTAAGTTGTGGTACGTAGTGCTACCCAAACTTAGAAACAAATGAAAAAGAGTTATTGCGCTTTTGTAGAATTCACAACGGACAAATGCAATCCGTAGTAGAACTCTACGCACTTTTCTTTTCCCGGTGGCTGGCGCTCCACAGAACCCGGGATTTCATCCGGGCGGACAATTGAGGCTCCAGCTGATCAGTCGGTCGCCTGAAGCTTAAGGGGTTCAATTTCCCTTTGAATTTGCAGCGGTATATACAGTCGTTACTAATGAGTAAAGCTATTCAGTGTCCAATCATCGAATTAATAAACATACAGAAATTCACGTGCATTTGTCTATGCCCACACATCTGCCTCCCTTTACTCCAGCGTTTGGAGCGCAAAACATTGCCCAAGATAACATTTTGCAGTCAGCAAACCATGCTCGCATAGGTGTTAATGGTTTTGGGCAGATAGGTGAGTCAATAAGCCTTGAATACATACAATAGACCGTCAGTACTAGTATATCAAGCTTCAAGGTCGGAACTTGTTGCGGGCATCATTGCTTAGAGACAATGTCTCCGTTGTAGCTATCAACCACACTTACTCTTCGGTTGAAGATGTTATTCGTTTACTAATGCATGGCTCGATACATGGTGCTCTTGACAAGTTGATGGGCCACAAAACGCAAATCGATATCTTACCTAATGGAAGCATTGCAATTGATGGCCAGCATATTGCACTCATGTCTGAGCGTAACTTGGAGAAAACAAACTTCACGAAACCTGGAGGGAACTACGTTGCCGAATGCACAGGAAAGTTTCGGCCAGCTGCTGCAAACATGTCACCATAGGGGGTGCGAAAAAGGGTTGAAATCGGTACTAAACCCGGATGCACCAAATATAGTCTATCCCCTAAGGTGCTAGCTACAGCTGGATTCGCTTATAATTTCTTATTAGTTAATCAAAATATTATAATCTGAAAGTTTTTGAAATCGTAAATTGTATTTATTTTTATATGAAATATAATAGGATTTAAAAACTTTACCAAATTTATTTTTAAAATAAAATAGAAAAACTTATAATTAAGTTTCTAATTATTTCTATATAAGTAAATTTTTATTTTAAATTTCAATTAAATAGTTTTTTTATTTGATATAGTTTGTAAAGTTATTAATGTTCTTATTTGTATATGGGCTATATTTTCCGGCTGTAGTTGATACCTTAGGGGATAAAGTCAATTCGGATAATTATTTGCGATTCTATAAAAAAACAATGGTTTATTCTTGCGATAGTTGTACTACCAATTGCTTGGCTCCCATCGCCAAAGTCCTTCAGCATTCTTCTGGGATTCATCACGCTTTCATGACCACCGTACATGCCTCGACGCAATCTCAACATGTTCCAAATGGATATAGCACGAAGGATAGGCGTTCAGGACGCTTAATAATAGGAAATATCATTCTAACCACTACTGGTGCAGCGAAGGCTATAAAAACTATGTTGCCCGAGCTGGCCGGCAAAGTTTCTAGTATCTCGGTTCGGGTGCCAACAGCAAACGTATCTATGGTGGACTATCGAAACTGTACTATCATGATCTCTCGAGGAAACAATGAGCAAGTTCCGTACTTCCGCTCAACCGGAGCTATCTGGTGTCCTCCAAGTTGAAGATGAGGAGTTAGTGAGCTCAGACTTTCTCGGCAACTCGTGTAGTGCAATTATTGATTCAAAGGCTTCAGTTGAACTTAAACCCAATGTAACTAACTTACACACTCCCAGGCAGGATTTTAAGCAAATCTCTTCAAGTTCTTCAAGATTATTGCGTAGTATGATAATTGATGGGCTCATGCTGCAGGCTTCTAGATATGCTAGTTTTTATGAATAGTCAAGATATCATAAGCGGATAGAGATTTGAGAGTTATGTAATCAAAGTGGGAATTGAAACCAAGTTAGTGTATAGAATATATTGGCTCTCTCGTAATTCGATTTGAGTGATAATAGTTCTATAGCTAGAAAAGCTGTTTCAAATAAAATGCAAGAGGTTGGATTACAATTTAGGCTAATGGCTGTATGTCTTCAGACCCATTGTATAAAACCATGAAGGGGCCAGTACCCCGCCATTAGTAATAACAGTAGTCATAGGCCCACCCCCAGAAGAAGCTGTGTTGGGATATGGAGACATCCGCTCTTCTTCTTGGCTAAGAATGACTGAGACATTCTTCTAACTTTCTTCGAAAGGGTTCCTAGAAATGTGTATGAGTAAATTTAATTTTCAAATCGAATGAAAATAGCAGAGCTAATATCTTGAGAAGGAAAGATCTCAATGTCCCCTAGATCACCAACTTAGGACTCCTTTGTAGTCCGTACACTGAATAAGAATATCAATAATCTTATAAATAGTATTAAAAATAAAAATGCTTATATTTAGAATTAAAGATTCAAATTTCTTAAATAAATTATAATAAATATATGAAGTTTATTTCTATATGTTTTTAATTAAAAAAAATTGATTGAAAACCTTTATAAATATTATTATATTTTACTTCTCAAAAAAAAAGAACTTTAAATATGATTTATAAATAATTTATAATAATAATAAGATATCAAATCAAAAATTCAATATTTATTCAAAAGTTGAAGACATATATAAGATTATATAGAAATATAATGAAAATACTATTTATTTTTATTACAATCCTAATTGATTGATATTTATTATAAAAAAACGTTTCAAAATAATGAGATCTCTTTAAATCCTGACGATTTGATTGGTCAGTATGACCCTGTATACGCGAGGAGTCCTAAGTTGGCGGTCTAGGGGATAGAGGAAATTAATTGTCGGAAGTCGGCTGCTATTCGGCTAGTCGTCGGGATAGCTGTTAGCCATTCAAGCTAAGGATCCATCTGTTCACGTCACCAACAGTCACCAACTGGTTCAGAATGAAAATCCCTGTTATACTCTTCCTAACTTCTACGATCACTAGTACTACAACATCAATTTTCGTGGTAACCCTACTTAATACGACAGTAACCCCATATCGGGGACACGTGGTCAAATTTTCATAAATAAAATGCAAGAGTGAACGAAAACGTCGCATTGAATAGTGGGTAGTGATGAACTGTTGAATAACTAGCATATAAGAGTTCGGCTCTGATCGATGTATCCCGCGGCAACTTCGCTTGCACCACGAGCCAGTCAATGGAGAGATCTTGGGGCTCGATAAATGCGTGCTTGGAACTCGTCATTGATACAAGCTTCAATAAGTGTACTGACCTTTAATCCATTCATTTCTTTAAGTCCAAAACAATATCAGACAATATTATAGGTGTAACTCGGAAGTCCGCATTATATCTGGTATACTCTAAGGTTATCTTGAAAGAATTTGCAACGTAAAGTGATTGAAACGAGTGAGGCGGTGGAGTGACGCGGTCAAGTGACGTGAAGGCGAATAGACCAACATCTACAGTATGATCTATTCTATTTGCCGATGTTTCAACAAGGAGAAATCATATGCAACTGTTTCCAAAGCATTGGGATTTTTGGTCTGGATCTTCCAAATTGAGACGAACAGCTCGCTTGGGGTGGGGGTATTCGCAAATCAATTGGTGCGATGGTCGGGGCGGCGGAGTTGGAAATCTCCGCCATTACCACGCCCAAAATAATGACGCAAACTCTTTTTTAGAAGGAGCATGAGAAAATTGGGTCAACAACAAGCAATTCGCGCATGACAGAGGTTCTGATTTACGAGGAAATTTTCTTATCCGGTATTACTGGGCCCGCTGTTATGCGGCTAGAAAGATAAGATTTTTTTGGCAGGTCTAGCGACCGTCGCTTGTGGAGCAACTCACTTCGACTTTGCTTGTACCATCAAATCTTCTGGAGATAATGTCCTCAAATTAGCTAGCTAGAGCCTCAGATCTTAGCATTCTTCTTTATTCATCGCTTTTGGCATGTAATACTCTATACCTATGATACCGAAAAATGCCCTCTTGGTTGCTGGCCGATTTTATGATTAGCCGAAACAAGGGTTTAATTCTCAAGGCGAACAAATAAATGCGGAGCAAGTTACTTTCCAGATACGAAACCCCACAGAATTCACAGTACCCTGTCTAGTAAATTCTGAAGACGATAATGGAGACTCCACAAGATAATGTGCTCCCCAGATTTGTTGTTCGGGGGATCATTGCTTCCCCAGGAATAAAAGGATCCTGTCTTGGCCTTCTTATTTCTCTTGACCCCTTAAGCTTCTCTCTCATTCATATCTTACTACTTGTCTTGGCCATCTCGTCTTACCCGTCATGTCTTCTAAAAATTCTTATATGGGACTGCGAGGCAGAGCCCTGAGAATTGCCCAGGTTGCGTTTATCGTTGGACCAGGCTTCACATTGTTTGGTTACAACCAAGCTGGTCTTGGCCCCTTAGCGACACTTCATAGTTGGGCACATCAATTTCCATCGCTGGACACAGTCAACACGACCGGCCCACTCAAATCACACAACTCAATCAACAGCGGTGCCGTTATTGCATCTTTTCAAATCGGATCTTTAATGGGTGCCTTATCATGCATATTTTTAGGAGATCTTCTAGGTAGACGAAGGACAATCTTTCTCGCTGCTTTCTTGACCCTCATTGGCCAAGTTCTCCAAGTCTCGGCTTATAACTTAATTCAGTTCGTTATCGGTCGACTGGTTTTAGGCATGGGAGTTGGAGAGATTAGTGTTATGATACCGGTCTGGCTAGCGGAATGTTCACCCGCGGCTCACAGAGGGCGAGATGTTGTCACTGCAGGTATCTTTATGTGTTTCGGCTATTCTGTGTGTAACTGGATAGACTTCGCATTTTACCACCTTCCAAACACGAATTTACAGTGGAGATTACCTTTGGCAATTATTTCCCTACCGCTCTCACTCGTTATGATGGGTGTTGTCTTTCTCCTTCCTGAATCT